GAGAGATCTCCATATCATGACAGGAGAACAGAAGGAGGAATTGCCACCAGGGTTCAGATTTCATCCTACAGATGAAGAACTTATCACCTTCTATCTCATCAACAAGATAACTGATGCTACTTTTACTGGAAGGGCGATCGCAGATGTCGATCTCAACAAGTGCGAGCCATGGGAACTCCCTGGTAAATATAAATACACATAGACAATTATAACTTATTTGTCAGCCCTAGCTTCATTTGTTTTTCAATAATTCATCTTGAAATCAGTTTCTTTGTCTTTGCATGTATCCATCAAAACTAAACCTAAAGTTCTCATCAGAGATCTTGCTTACTTAACTTTCTTTTTCTTCCTTTTTTTATGCGGGGGGGAATAGACGACCGATAAAGTTGAGATAAATATCACTAGACCGCAGCTAGCTGATAGATCTTGCTTAGTTTTCTCAACTTATTGATTTAATTTCTCTTTTGGTTATTACTTGGCATCAAGTTTTTCTGAAATGAAACTCATGAGAACTTTTGCATAACATTTCTTGTGACATATATAATAGACAATTAATTGATATTTTCCCATAAATTCATAGGTAAATTTAGTAGCTTCTTGTCGAATGAATAATTTATGGTTTCTTGTTTGAATGAATTATGAATTATAGCAAAGGCGAAAATGGGAGAAAAGGAGTGGTACTTCTTCAGCCTTCGAGATCGGAAGTACCCAACAGGAGTGAGAACAAACCGAGCAACAAACACAGGTTACTGGAAGACGACAGGGAAAGACAAGGAGATCTTCAACAGTGTGACATCTGAGATGGTTGGGATGAAGAAGACACTTGTTTTCTACAGAGGCCGAGCTCCTCGAGGCGAGAAGTCCAATTGGGTCATGCATGAATATCGTATTCATTCTAAATCCGCCTTTAGAACCTCTAAGGTACATACCTAATTAAATTCATTTCTATATATATAATGGTACCATAATCCAAATTAATTAAGCTTCCGATTAATTCCCAACAACTGATTATTATAAGAATAATAGTATTGCATGTGGTGTCAATTTTAATTAACTTACAACATTACAACATTTACTTGGATCTCTCTCTCTCTCTCTCTCTCTCTCTCTCTCTCTCTCTCTCTCTCTCTCTCTACATGGGATACTTGTATGAACATGTTGAGTTGAGCACAAGTTACATATTTATATAATTTAAAAAAAGATAAAGGATAGAGCATGATTAATTCAATGCGAGATTTGTGAAACTTTGTCGACAGAGGACAGTCCGTAGTCCATATATAATATATAATTTTGGGTTTTACAAAAGCTAGCTAGGAGTACTTGCACCTTGTTTAATCCAAGCAAATAATAATTAGATGACTGATTACCCTAGTGGAACCCTTACATTTGAGTTAATTAACGATTGTATGTGCAATAATATGGGAAACATGGAAAATTACCTGCCGTGGTGAATGGTGAATGGTGATGGTGGGATAATATGTATGCATAGAAACATGGAAAACCAATGCTGATAGTAATAATATGGGAAAGAGAAGAAATCAAGAAACAAAAAAGAATTCATATTTCATGGAGGTAAATGATAACCTGTATCGGGCATCAATCTTTAACATCAATGTAGCACGTACGTAGAATACATTGATACCTGGTACCAAATAGTATTTAGTGAAAGAATATTGATACCCTTCGTCTTTAAACTGTGTCTTTCATTCTATATATATTATTATTCCATATAGATTTGATTGTGGATTGAATTAACTTACTGTAAATGCTGTGTTTAACAGGATGAATGGGTGGTTTGCCGTATCTTCCAGAAGAGCGCAGGCATAAAAAAGTATCCAACAAACCAAGCAAGAGCAGCCAATCCCTACAACCTAGAAATAGGTCCAAGTGTGCCATCACCCATGATGCAGCTAGGTGATCACCAATTCCCATATGGCAGAAATTACATGACAAGTGCTGAGCTGGCAGAGCTTTCTAGGGTTTTAAGAACTGGCGGCAGCGGCGGTGGTGGATCATCAAATGGCACTATTAACGTACCAATCCAACCCCAATTCAACTACCCAAATCTTGGAGGAGGAGGAGGAGGAGGAGGGTTTACAATTTCTGGGTTAAATTTGAATCTTGGTGCGCCAGCCACCCAGCCCATGTTGAGGCCAATGCCACCACCACAACTACATCATCAAGGTCCTCCAGCTATGAACCCTCATCAGCAAGATGTTATGAGTAATGGGGCTAATAATAATTCTCTTGGTCCAGATCATCAAGCTGGATATGGTGCAATAGATATGAACAACAACAATGCAAATGGGAATGGCAACCGGTTTATGAACATGGAGCATTGTGTGGATCTTGACACCTACTGGCCTCCCTATTAGGGTTTATGAAGAGAGTTATTATAATTAGTTCCAACCTCCAAGGGCAAGTTAGACCACAAACCTAATTAATAAATAATTAATTATGATATTAATATTAGTATAGAATAGCTAGCAACATATAAGGTACTCCTGAGAATCAGAGAAATTGTATTTCCTTTCAATCTGCTGACATTTCAATTAAGCACGCCTTAATTTGTTATTCATCTCTAATGGGGTGTTTTATGGGTTAAGTAAGTATTTACCCAGAGAACTAAGGCCATCTATCGTCTTTATGAATTAGAGTTTTTAAGTTATAATTACTTCTCTCCTTCAGAAACATGTCTTGGTCTTTTTCCTTCTATATATCTTTTAATTTCATTTATTTCCATCCACGATATTTTCTTTTTCAGTACAAAGCGATAGTCTAAACTACTCACACACACAACTATGATGCCATGGGGATATGAACCTGAGATCTCTGGCTTGCAAGTCAAAGTCAGTTTCCGTTGGGCTAGACCTCATTGGCCCCATCCACCATTTTTCAACTTAATATAAATGGTGGTTTTTGAGTTGATAATATTTATCAGTAAACTGAAAATGGACTAATTACATATATAAACACTCCATCTGTGTGTTACTAATGGATCAACTTAGAAGTTTAAGAATTGATAAATACCACAAGTTAGGAGACTGCTAGCAAGCACAGGAAGGAACTATCTGACAAGGCGTTGGGGTGGTTGGCCACAAAGCAGCACCACATGCACTGGAAAAACTTTTAAAACTCGGGAGAGTGAGAACGAAATTAAACTTACTCCGTAGAATTTTATATAGTAAGTTTACTTTCATGGCTACATTGGAGAAGCTTTTCAATTGGTGAGAGAGTGAGAAAGGAATAAAACTTCTCAAAAAAGTCGCTTTTTTTATTAGTAAGTTCATATTGTGTAGCAATGTCACCAGTTGGTCTCGGTTGGTCACTTGTAAAAACCCAATGCCATCATCATGCATCGACCATCGTGTAAGCCAATATGCCTATAGCTCGGGTAATAATAATATGGTTGAATGAAAAAATTTATATTTATGAAATTAGATTTTAGTTTTTATAAATAGTTAGATACACGTGTTATAAACATTAGTGAATTAGTGATATCACAAAGCAGTGTGAAGTTGGTAAGTAAAACCCATTTATTTTTTGTTTGGTATTAAAAACCCATTGTCATATTTATTGTCGTAATAAGTTGATAATTGAAACATCATCAGCCAGATGATATTGCATTGTAGTCTAAAGTGTTGTAGTTTCTCTAAGAGTATAACACTCATGACATGTTTATTAATTCGTAATCGGATGAGGATGAATTAAATTGAGGATGAGTTGGATTGAGAGGAGTTAGAATCTGAATTCCCATTAAAGTTGTTTACTAAACCATATGGAATTGGGGTAGGAGTGGTACCGATTTCTTATAAGTTACCATGAATTGGAATTGAAACCAGTTTGCTTACTAAAATACCCTTGTTGTTGGATTAAAGTATATGACAAATTTGAAAATTTAAAATTTGTGTGAGGATATGTTGGGTTAAAAAAGGGATTCTTGATGAGTTAGTTCTCCAGGAATTAGAATACCACCAATAATCCAATTCCTCCCAAATCAAGAGTTAAATTCTTGATTTTGTGTGAGCCCTACTTGCATTTTCATCCATAATCGGAAGAATTCAACTTCTTATTTTGATTCCAATTACGAATTAGTAAACATGTTATGATAATAAAGATGTCAGAGCCATCAAAACAAGCTCAAATTTCCTCACGCGCCACCACGTACGTCACAAGGAGCTCACACAAGTTAACCTCCATTAACAGCACTCAACAGCCTTATGAACCACCCTTAAACGCTCAAAGGCCTTGTGGTGTTAAACACACAGGTTTGTCTTTTGGGACCTGAAGTTTGGACCCGTAGATACAACGAAAAACATGATTCTTTTAAAAACATGAATTTTCAAATAGTGATTTTAAGATCTAAAAACTTGTTTGATATTGAACTCCAAACTATTTTTAAGATCTAAAAAAAATTAATATTAAAATCAGAAAATCAGAAACCCTAATCTCCAAATTAAAATTAACAACGAAAAAAAGATGTGAGGCAGAAGCTTATCAATTTTGATGCGCACAACTCTAAATTGAACTCCCCAATGCTGAACTTAATTCGGTGGTTTTGGTGATTATTGGATCGCAACAAACCTGATCGGTACGAGAGAGCGACCATGACAGAGGAAAAAAGAGGAGACACAGAGAGAGAGAGAGAAAAAATGTAAAACCTCATTTTTTGTGTGTTCAATAATATGAATATTTTTTGGGTTTGAGTTTTTTAAAAAGGACCTACCAAACGGCCCTAACCTTTCTGTGGACAGGAGATCAAAGTTTGTGGCCTACTTTAGGTCGCCCAACAGCCATCACGCAGGTGACTTTAGCGTAATTATTTGGGATATTTCTATTTCCCAAGTCAGAGAGTCACGGAGGTAAACATATGGTAAAAACAACGGGGCATGGGTTATTGAGAAACACATATGCAGATTGCAGACCAAATTTTACACAAATCAATGACATACCTCTTGGTCATCTCAGTAAATTATTGATTCTACAGTCTTCACAGTTAATTGAAAAATTATAAATTTTAAACAAAAAATTAGAACAAAAAAGTTATAATTTTAATAACGAAAAGAGGGGCACACGACAATCATCTAGACTCTGAACTTCGTATGAATAAAAAATAAACTAGAATACACCTTGGAACGACATAATTAAAAGCTGCCCACACCATATGAACTCCTAGACTTATCTGAATGTCTAACTCGTGTGTATCACAGTTTCTAAAACTTAAGCAAGAGATTTGAACACCGCCGTGGCTGCATCTGATCACGAATATATCGCCTCGAAATGCCCTTGCAACAAGCACAAACCAACCTGCAAGAAATAGAAAAACAGATACTGAGGTAAATAAACAGAAGCGGAAAGTTTCACCTATCTACCATGAAAGTACAGTATAGCAGTATCAGGTACAATACAAAATGTTCATTTACTGCTGTTTGAAATAGAAAAACAGATACTGAGGTAAATAAACAGAAGAGGAAAGTTTCACCTATCTACCATGAAAGTACAGTATAGCAGTATCAGGTACAATACAAAATGTTCATTTACTGCTGTTTGAAATGATAATGAAGTATACCATCCAATCATAAAAAAGAGAAAGACTTGTGAACAAACTGGCAGCAGTCTACTTGTCCGGATGAACCCTTTTAGGCTTACGACGTGTATGGTTGGTACTTCGAACAGGTTTCTTAGACTTTGTACTGCATGATGATAAACCAAAATTTGTAATCAGCCAAAGGAAATATTTCAGGATTACTTTTCATTTAAGAGAAAGGGACGTGCAAGATGCCAGCATCAGAACTTTAATTGCCATCTCAACCAACAACATAATTAAAAAGAAGGGAGATTCACTATTATACCCAATATAGGAGCCCAAATTATAAAAATACCCTATATGAAATGGACTTTAGAAACACACCCAAAGCTCATTTACAACATAACAAAAAGGCTTTTAACTTCTTTTAAATTACAAAACTGTCATTGATTGCTCAAAACAAACCCAACCCCAAAACATATAAAAAAGCCCAAAATACTCAATAGGACATCAAAGTAATTTAATAATCAAAATTAAATTCAATAGAGCCAATTGTCATTTTTTGGGTTTTTTTTGGGTTTGTTTATAGAAATTAAATGATGTAGGGTTTATTTATAGTTTTAGTGCTAAGAATGGGTATTTCACTAAATATCTCTAAAAGGAACAGATAATTAAGAAACTAACCAGAAAAGCGAGGAGAAAATTCTGAACAGAAATATGATGGGTAGGGCCAACAAAGCAGAGGCCTGCAACATTTAAATTGTTGGTCAAACATAAAATTTAAAAAATAAAATAAAAGGAGCTGCAAAAAGAATGATTTCATTACACATACCGCAAACCACTCCAACTCCTTTGTAGCAAGGGCTCTTGTCAGCTCATGCCTCTTCAGCAAATCTTTTACTTTGGCTTGAACCTTGAAGGAATATTAATTATAAAGTTAATAAACTACCATAGCTCAGGTTCAGTGAATGGCTTAAGCTAAGGGTACATGCACCAATGCTACAAAGTATCAAGGGGAAAAAATTATGTACTTCAACAACATATTCAGCACTGCTGGGACAAAGAATACCGAGAAAACAACACAACTCATTCAGGATATGCGTTTTGTTTGACAATTTTATAGCAACTACTATAATGTATTAACCATGTAATGACTGAGCTAAAGAATTCTTAGAATCACTTGATGACAACAAACATAAAAGTCAAAAACATGCAGTAATAGTCCTCAACAGTAAATGACATATGTACTGCAGTCCAAACTCTGTTCAACACAGTCATTATCAGATAACAGAAATTAAACATATATTCCATATGAAGTCAAGGTGAATTGGCTTGGCGAAAGCAAACTTCAAATTAAAAGGCAACAATCAAACCTTTGAACTAATAAGTATCTAACAGTAGCATAATGAACGAAGGTTTTCCCAAATTAATGCCGATACCTGATGATGGTATGTTGACGCAGATTTGAGAAACTTCTCGTAGGCATGAACTGCCTTCTTTGTATAGGGCTTCAATACCACTCGAACTTTGTCAACATGAGGTTTTGCTACAGTCGCCACTTGATCAACATATGGCTTGCTGAACTTTTTTGCTTCCTGTCACCCAAAAATACAGCTGTAGGATGCATGTAGGCAACACGGAAAAACCACAGCCCCCAAAAGAAAAAAGTTTATATGATAACATAGATACCTGAAAATAAGGATCAACAACTTCTTGTGCTGTTAGAACATGTGGAGCTAATGTACTCTTTGACGTCTCATAAACTTCAACAGTTTTCGTACTTAACGATTTCACATGAGGTTCAACAGATTCTTTCACCACCACCCACTGTTCCTTGATTGCTGGGATCCATTTCTTTAAAGCACAAGGACAGAGACAGGAAAAGGAAGGGAAATCCAATTTAGTATGAAATTGAAGACAAACCATTTATTATAAAAAAAGTTATAAACCATCATTGAATAGCAGAACTTACTAGCATGCACGCATACATGCATACTAGCACACTTAACATACATGTATACATATTGGCATGCAAGTGTGTGTGTGTGTGTTTGTCTAATCCCTGCTTAAATTATCTCTGCCATGGAAAAATCACAAGGACAGAGACAGGAAAAGGAAGGGAAATCCAATTTAGTATGAAATTGAAGACAAACCATTTATTATAAAAAAGTTATAAATCATCATTGAATAGTAGAACTTACCATCACGCACACATACATGCATACTAGCACACTAACATACATGTATACATATTGGCATGCAAGTGTGTGTGTGTGTGTGTGTGTGTGTGTTTGTGTAATCCCTGCTTAAATTATCTCTGCCAAGGAAAAATCACATAGCGGGAGATGTACGAAAACAACACAACCAAATTCAGGTCCTCGCATAGTGTAATGATGCAATACTAAAGTTGAAAATAAAGTAAGTTAACCTAGCTTACAGTTTTAAATGTTTCCACATGGGGTTCAGCCCACTTTTCAGCTTGGGCTTTTTTCTCCAGGGCCTGAACAAATTTGAAGTAAGGTGCTCGTCAGTAATAGATGAATATGATACTCAGTAAATTAAGCAAAAGTTGTAAAAGAGCAAATTCCAGAAGTAACGAATGAGATTCTTCACCATACAGCAATCAACTGTAATACCTTCTGAACCGCAATATCCACTGCAGGTTTGCCATGCTCATTCCAATGTGTCTCTACAAGGGACTGCAAGTTGACAATAACTTCAACACCTTGAAGAAAGCTTGTCTTTACAAAAGTAAAATGCATTTGTTACCTGACAATGGATTAAATGTACAGCAAGCCACGGTGGAAGCCATGCACCATGAACCTGATTTTAAAAAACAGAATATGCATTAGGGCTTGCAACCAAAATATAATAACGACTCCATTTTTCAGTATACAATATACCAGAAGTGGACATGTGAGAAACAATATAATATAGGGCAGCTACGAAAAAAGCATTTGCATGAATAAAAATAAGTAAATAAAAAACCCAGCTTTCGTATTATTTCCAAAATTCCAACTGTATCATTTGACAGATAAATTATCTAGATTACTGAAGACAATTGCAAAATGAACTGTAACAGGTATTATCTGCCAATCGCATGGATTATTAAATAAGTGACATGCCCCATATTACAGCCAGATTTTTTTTATGAACCTTAAATTCTATGATAAGCTTAGACAAAACCTTACCATTCTACTTCCTTAAGAAACTACTTGGTTGATTTTTCTGAATTTACAACTAGCTCAGAAAGAATATAGACAAACATCAGGAAACAGGTTAAATGAGAGAGAGAATTTATGCAACTTACTACCTCCTTTAACTCTTTTGCTTTTGAAGTAGCTTCAAACTTTGCCTTCAACATTTCTTCCTGAAGAAAAATATGGAAACAAAGACTGTGCATAAGCACCAAACAAAATCTAGAATAATGAACTTTAGCAAAGACTGAAAAATTACCTCAGCAACTTTAAGAGCGCGCTCAGTTTTACGGATTTTGGTCTTTTGGTCATCACTAATCTTCTCAATCTGTAAAAGAATTATCTGAGATCATTCTACCATCCCCCAGGATAAAATTAAGCAATGTTCAAGTTGCAAAAGAAAACAGAAGTTTACTTTTCATTCAACAATGTATAGAAGTCAAAGTAAATATTAATACAAAAAAAACCAAAAAAATCCCAACTGTGACCACATTGGTGCTGAACAAGGAACTAATAATGTTGTTTTGCCCACCAACAGCTTACATTCATGAAAGAAATGAAAAAAAAAAGCATTTATATCAACAACCTTGTTTCTAGGGAAACAAATAGAGAACACATCACAAAAAGGACATGAAAGGGATTGGTAATAACCATTGAATCATAAGAATACAACCAAAGCAAAACAGTGATCGTTTGACAGAACTTCAGAAAGATAATACAACTTTTAGTATCTTTCCATCTTCCATTAATATCGTTCATCCAGTTACGTATTACATTCAGCAAAACAATGTCCATTATATGCAGAATCACTAAGGGCTTCCATTATGAGCGCATTCAGCTACAAAATAACTTTTTCTTCCCGAATGAGACAAATAAAAAAACAATAAAAAACTCACATTTTCTATTTTTAAGATCAAAACATCAATCTTCGTCTCGGCGTTTTTTGCCCGGGCTTCCAAGGCCTCTTTCTCTTTATGTTGCGATTCTAATTCCTTTTTAAGTTCAGCAACCTGCAAAGTAGATTGAGTTTACAAATGTAGTGGTTTTCACCGACTAAAATAGTTCACTTGACCATTTCTAACCTTCTTCTCTAATTCACCAGCACGTGCATGAGCCTTTCCAACCTGCTTCTCAGCATCTAATGACCCTTTTTTCTAAAATACAGTAGCATAGGAAGAACAAATTACAAATTAAACAAGACCCAAAGAAACAAATTGTTATTTAACAACAGAGTGGGTAATTGGTTATCTGGCTTCTCATGCAAAAATGGCTAACCTGGAGAGACTCGATTTCACTCTGCAAAGAAGAAATGCTATTCGAGTTCTCTTGAATGATTTTCTCCTTCTGTTCTATTATCTCATTCTTCTTTTTGAGTTCTTTAATCTTCGCATCCACATCGAATTCTTCAGCAGTAACAGAAAGACAAAACGTCAGCCAACAAGCCCAAGCAGCACTTAAAACACTTAAGAAGCACCATTCCCAAATCCAAAAAGTCTACGAACTGCTTTTTAACATTGATTTTGGTAAGCTACTATGGATTATTCTTCAGAACAAAGCTAAAACTCAACTTGTGCTCTTCTGAATATTGTTTCTACTCATACGGTAACTAAAAATTAGAATTTGTTTAAAGCTCCGACAAAAATTATAAAAAGTTAAAAACTAAAGCTTGACAAGTTAACATCTGAGAGCTCAGCTTATTGGTACTACTTGAACTCACAAAAACCAAAAAAACTAGAAATAGAACGAAATTAATACACTTCAAGATTCGTAAACAGAAGGATCTTTAACTTCAGTAACATCTGATTGGGGAGCGATAAAACCGAGGAAAATCGAATAAACAACACTTCTAAATCACAAATTTAGTTTTTACGTTCAAACAAACCCTAAAATCGTAAAACAAGCGAGAAACGAACCAAGGGTGTGGATCTTAGACTTGAGCTTATCCAACTCGATCTTCAGAGCGGACGAATCAGGGCCGTCCGATCGGACGGGCTTCAGTGGCGCGTCTTCTTCTCCTTGCACTGAAACATCAGCCCTAATCTGAGAGAAAATTAGGGCTAGAAAAATTGACAGTATCGCGAGCTTTGAGGCCGCCATGGAGAATGAAATCACAGCAAACAAAACTCAAAGCGACAGTTTTGAGTCTGAGTTTCTTTTGAGTTTTTGAGTTCGGAGTTTGGTGGTACTTTCAGTTTTCCCCCAACTATAAATCCTATTTACTTTTTGGTTTAAAAAAAAAAAAATCTTTTTATTACCGAAAGGAAATAGGATCCTAAATCGAATAAAATATAACTTTTTAGCGGTTTTATTTTGGTCGGCCACGTGTCGGTCAGGTAAGGGATAGGGATTATCTGGGAGGGCTTTGATTTTTGACGCGTGGAATTGCCACCACTTGTCAATGAATGTGGGCGGTTTATGGTTCGATAAAACCGGGTCGGTGGGGGTAGGTAGCGGGACTAGCCGCCGAACAAGGTTTTGGAAATAACGAATGTACTCGGTGAGTCGTGACTCGGGAAAAACAAAACGACAAGTGGAATATATTAAAACGGCATCCCATGATATACGATTGATTAAAGATCCAAATTATCCATGCACTTGATCCAACAAGAAAGTCCAAATGCCAAAATAACATGATTATTGGGTGAGATATGTTTATACCATATCTGATCGGATCGGACCCTTCTATTTGGACATGTGGAACAAAAGACCCACTAATAAGAAGTCAATATAACCCAGCTTAGTTGTTGGAACTCATAATTATCATCGGTACGGGTGAGCCTTCGACAACCTCACTTGCCAATCTGGCTTAACGAAGGCATCTGTTGTGCCACTTTCATGTTAAGATATGTGGCGGCCTCTTAGACGATGTTTACAGTCACACATCAAAACAATAACCCAAGGTACTCCACCCTTCGATAAATTAAAAAAAATGCTCTACCCCAATTGTCTATAGATAAGGCTCTTGTTCTAATGTACCATGTAATAATAACGGGGCACAAATATCCTTAATTTGTGTTATCATTCAACTCTATTGAGATTAGGAGTTCGATGATCTCATTAGTAATATGTGTGTACGATGGTGCTGATGTCCTTACAATTCAATTCATACATATGCTTAGGAAAGGGGTTGGGCCCGAGAAAGGTGTATTTTGGCCCTTGGACATTTTGGTCCGTCATCAAATAAGCTTAATTGGGTTTGCCACATGCAATTAATCAATTTGAATTAAGAGTGGCATGAGGATATTGTAAATCCACTCGATTAAGGATTGATCTCGTTTTGATTGACTTTGTAATAGGAGTGTTAACTCTTCTGTTTAGTCATTAGCTTGAGTGGTGCTCTTTCTTCCCCCGGGATTTTATCCCTTGTGGTTTTCCTTGTAAAAGTTTTAACGAGGCCACTATTAATATGCTCGTTTTTACCATGTAATGTTCTCTTTGGGTTGAATGCAATACCATATCCAAAAAAAAAAAAAAAGGGATTTGGTTTGGGAATGCTTCTTAACGCTTTATGGTATAAAAATCTAAATTGTTTAGTATGCGCTTTTGCAAAAAGCACTCTTTGATTATTAATAAAAGGTTCGACATTCCTCTATTTGGGACTTCTAAATGTTTCCAGTAAAATCACTTTTATTATAAAAACAGTTAAATTTTCATAAGAAATCCATGTGTTTCTTGCAAAAGCACTTGCCATGTGCTTTGCTAGAAAACACTTCTATGACCCATAAATTTCTAAATTATGCCAAACGTTAGCAACAATGCTTTTGGTTGTCAGAAAGCGCTTTTTGCATTTCCATAAGCACTCCCAAACATACCCTAAAAGAGCTTCTAACACAAGTACTTATAAACATCAATCCTAAACCGCCCTAAAAATCACATTATTTAACAGCCGAACCCTTAGGGTATGTTTGGTACACCATATTAGACTCTGGATGTAAGTAAATAACCTAAGTCAGTTGTTTGGTGTCAATTTGTATTATTTAATTACTTGACTATGTTAAACGGATCGGGCTTTTAATACTCTTCATGCCTGACTAACTAATACAATCCACACAACCCAATTTTAGATAATACTTACTTAATTATCATCCATATCATTTTATTTAATTGAATCCATTAAATTACAGTGAGCATAGTGATATTAAAGTCTCACGTTATCTTATCAAGTGAGATTGCCAATCAAAATGGTTGATGTAAAATTGCATTGCACCAGACCAGCATTAGCTTCAGACTTGATATTCTATAATTTATCATCTATTTTGTAGTCTTATGTAATTTATCAGTTCACAATCAGAAAAGATGTGCTTATATCAATTCACTGTCAGAAAAGATTTTCTTATATCAAGATGTCTTATGTAGTTATTTTATATCAAGATGTGATTTCTTTTCCATCAATAAAGATGTGCTTATATATTATGAATCTTGACAAAAACAAAAGAAAAAAAAAACTATTGTCATATAAATCTTGCTAAAAAAAATTTTATCATATAGATTTCAATTTCCATTTAAATTATCAAAGAATTTTTTTTAAAAAAAAGTATGATCCTCTGTTATTCGATGGAGGACCAAACACATTATGACTTAGTTAGACTATTTATTCAGAATAACACAAAATGCCTTATAATATTATGGATAAACAATCAATAATCTCTGAAACAGATTAATACTATTCGACAAAAATTAATCGATACAATCAACGTACAAAACGAGCCTTTAAATTTCACCATCAACTTTTTACGTTGATGAATAATTGACCAACAACCTTTCGTTGTTTTGATGAATAATTGGTGTATGTTGACTATGAAGATAATGAAACAAGGGGTGAACAAAAAATCACACCTAACCAAGATTAAACAAACCTAGTTTCCCCTCATATGCTCAGCAGAAAAGTCCTTCCTAGTTTCAAAAACCCTCTCCCAAGAAATCTTCAAGTCCAACTTGGTGATCCCCCATTTTCCTAGAAAAAACTCTCTACTTTTTCCAAAATAAAATTTTGTAATTAGTCAATATGATATGATTAATTGACTTTTATTTTTATGAGTATTTTGACCAAAAATTAAATACTGAGCATCGACCATTGAAAAATATACACCGACTAGGCGAGGTGACTACGACATTTTTTTGTCCTCTTGGCCCGCCAGAAAGTTCAGATTAGATGACGACGACGCGGTCGGCTATTAGCCACGCACGCCTTTGAAGAAATTAACGGCTACGGTTCTCTCACCTGCCCAATCCAACGGCTCACCTAACATTTCATTAATTTCGCGCGACTTGATATGCAAAGCTTCTTGTTTCTTCGCCTACACTAACCTCACACGCTGTTTCACGAAACAACGAATCGCCTCGCGACGCGTAAGTTTTTATTTTAATTATCTCGATAATTACCTTTTTGTGATTGGACGAGCGCATGATCCAATACTCACAGGCGGTGATGAAATCGTTAAAGTCTGAGAGTTTCACCATTTGTTGGTTGGGGGAAGGCCAACGCTAAAACAAAAAGTAAAAGATTTTAGTCGCGTCAAGAAAACGACACAGAATCTGGTCGTTTCGAGGAAGTTACGTTAATATCAGTCTCCCCTCTCCAACATTTTCCACTTTCAAAAACGCTTCAGCTTTCTTCTACCTCTCTCTGCTTTCGCTTCGCAAGCTTTTGGACTTCAGGTGGAAAACATTTCTTTGATTTAGTCTGTTAATATCATTTTTTTTCTTAATTGTTTGGAATTTTCTGTTTAATGAGATTGATATAATTGTAATTTGTTCATTCACTTTTTTTTTTTCATGATATTGATCAAATTCCTGAAAATTTGGAGAGGTTTTATGAATCTGGTTTAGAATTTGAGGGTTCATAAGCTGTGATCATGGAGAAATGAATTTCATAAGAATTTGTTATGTTGCTTTATGGGGACTGATGTGGTAGTAGATAGGATAGGAGTCAGGTGAATTAGCAAAGTTATTTAAAGCTACATCCATAGATTTCAATTGTTATTCAATTCTTATCATACTGAATTCCAATTGGCAAAGAAAAAAGAGAGGAAGAAAGATTGTATGCTATTCATAAACATACACTGGAGGGAATTGATGGTGATTGATCAAATGCCTTGCGAATGGCAATGAGTTTTGAACTGATTAGTTGGAGTTGTTGGGGTGCTTACTGGGTTGTGCTAAGTTTCAGTTTATGTTCTTGAACTTGAAGTTGGCACATTGACTATATAAGAACACTTGAAAGGTTTCATATTGGTGTGTTTATGCTCAATATGAAGATGGCCCGAAATGAGAGCGAAGCGCTAAGAGAAAAGAGAGTAGAGATTAGAGTCGCTGAATATGACGCCGCACAAGGTTGATAAGTAGATGGACTTACTATTAGAATATGAGCATCCAACCCAAAACCAATTGGCAATGGGTGGAGAGGCCTAAGATCATTTAAACTATTATGCAAGGCATTAATTTCCCGATGAGGGATTCACACTCTCAACACTTAGGGATACTGTTGTTGAAAAGGTGGTGGAAAAATAACCATGAGCAATTTAGTCTTTTGGTGATTTTGTGAGTATTAGTTTCCTGCATCTTCAATTAGGGTATATTCTTTTATTTTCATTAGAAACAGTATAGCTTTAACATAGATGGGATTCCATTTCAGGAGTTTATTTTCTTGCAATAACAACAATAGGGTAAAGCAGCAGTTACAAATTTGAAACATCTCATAAAGGTTCTTGTATACAAATTCATACTTTGATTGTTTAATTGCTTAGAGTTTCAGCTCACTTAGTTGCAATTCTATGATCTTTCCATTTTCTTGAGCTTTCTTCCCCCTTTATCTTTTCTTCTTAATGTTCATTTTTACCTTATTGAGTTTTTTCTAGGGTAGTCATCTCTGATTTCTGTTTGTAGGTTATAGACTTATTTATGAATACACTTTGTGTTCTATTTCCCTTACCATTTGAATGCTGGTTTGTTTGGATGCATTTTGTCTAGAACCTGACCTGTTCTTTTCCTTTATTCCCCAAGCAAAGATTGGTGAATTTAAATTACACTTGGCCCAATCTGTACCGAGTCTCAACTGATGGGATGGGGAAACATCTACAAAAGACGGATGAAAGTTTGCACAGTTGCGTTCATGATATACCTTGATTACAAGGTAAATTTCATTAATTTCTGTTCATTTATAGGTTGGATATTTAAATACAAAAAACCATATTAAATTGTTATTGTTTTTTCCT